GATGAGACCAGTGGAGTATCTTAGATGGCTGCTCACAGGCTTTTAAGACCCTGGACACTACTTACCAAGGTAGAATGTAGAGCATTGTCTTTATAAGCTGTGTCATGCCAATTGAGCTAGATGATCCCTGAGACCATGGTCCCCAGAGCCCTCCGCCCAGCAATTCAGTCCCTCAGGGAGTTTGGATGTGTCTATGGGGCTTCCATGACCTTTCCTGTACAAGTTGTGCCCGTTTCCCCTGTATTGTGTACTGTCTCACTCTTCACCGAAGATACCACATAAGTTATCTTTTCAAATACATTTTCCACCATCTACTACCTACCATCAATAGAGAATTCATGTTTAAAGAGCTATTTTAAAGGAAGTTTTGGATGGCTAAAAAGTGAACCACCCTTCTGATTCATTACATCTCATAATGTGAGTAATGTGGCTATCTTTTTAGCTGGTGATATAGGAATCTCCACATAAATTCTATGAATGCCAGTTTTTCATCTACCAAATGTGGATGTCTTCATAAGCTTGTTCTTGGTGTGGCACAGTGCCTGACACATGCTCTGGATGCTGGGTAGAGATGGTCGATGAAAATTTGACTGTATTCTTCACCTTCCCTGTACAGAAACAGACCAGGGGCATGGCTAACACTTTCTCACACCCACTATGTAACTTTGGACAGATATGTTACTGCGATCTATTTTCTCCTTTTTATAGTGAAATCAATGCTGATGCAAAATTCTCAAAGTTGTTGTTGTTAGCTGCCGTTGAGTTGTTGCCGACTCATAACGACACTATGTACAACATTTTAAATACTGCTTGGTCCTGTGCCATCCTCACAGTCTTTGCTATGTTTGAGCCTATTATTGCAGCTACTGTGCCAATCCATCTCATTGAGGGACTTCCTCTTTTTTCCTGACTCTCTACTTTACCAAGCATGATGTCCTTCTCCAGGGACTCGTCACTTCTGATAATATGTCCAAAGTTCTTGAGACGACGTCTTGCCATTCTCTCTTCTAAGGAGCATTCTGACTGTCAAAGACTTTATTAACAAGATAGATTTGTTCATTCTTCTGGCAGTCTATGGTATATTCAATATTCTTTGCCAACACCATAATTCAAATGCATCAATTCTTCTTTGGTCTTCCTTATTCATGGTTCAGCTTTCAAATGTATATAAGGCTATTGACAATACCATAGCTTGGGTCAGGCGCACCTTAGTCCTCAAAGTGACATCTTTGCTTTTAACACTTTGAAGAGGTCTTTTGTAAAGTTTTTATGGATATTGAAAATAATCAATTCAGGTAAAATGTTTTGTAAATGTAGTATAAATGCGTTTGTTATTGTTATGTCAGTGGCTACATGCCGACGAAAAAGGACACATTTTAAAACTTCTCTTTGAAAATTAAAACGAGCATTTTGTAGATACATTTGAACCTTTGTTAAGAAAATCTTTGACTTTGGAGAAGTCGTATCACATAATATTAAGAACACAAGAAGAGTGTGAATTGTATAATAAAGAGTTGCCTTATTGGGATCAGGTACCAGGTCCAATGTACCATCTAATATTTCTATGACCTTCTTTAAATCCCTTCTTGAAAAGTGAATAGAATAATCATCTTTCCATTGAAATTCCAACATCAAAAATGTGCTGAAATCTTTTATCTGGCATTTCTTTCCTTCTTTTTTTTTTCTTCTCTTGAGAAAACAACTAACAACATTTTTATTCCATTGCCATGACTTTAATTGTGTTTTAAGAAGAAGACAAGATAATTTTTTGGGATCACACTATCAATTTACCTCTGACTGGCACAGTTTTAAATGTAAGATAATTTTTAACATAATCAAAGAGACAGAGAGGGAGAAGCAGGAAAGGGGTCCTGCAACATTGAAATATTTTACTCTGGTATTTGGGGATATCTAAACAGAGTAGTAGATAATAGAAGGTTTAGTGAAGAGTCTATCTTATACTGACTAGTTAGCTATTGAGTTAGGAAATTGAAAAGGACCATTAATAGAGGAATTTAAAAATCAAGATAATAACTTTATAGTTGACTGTATTAGAAGATAACCACTTGTGTACTTCTGAGCCAAAGCCAAATACTGATAACTAATATTTAGAAAGTTGTTTTGGGTAGAGTGACTTCAAGAATAAGTCTAGCTTCTCAATAAAATTAAAAAAAAAAAGTTGCAGTTACTAATGTATGTCTTAGGGAATAAGTAAATATTATAAACCTCAAAAAGAAAAATAAATCATGTTTGTGTCACTAAGTTTATTCCTATAGCAATTCCATTACTTATTCATTTCAACTTATTTTCAATTTTTAACGCACTCTGCTATAATGTATGTTATTGCTGATAAGTGAATTTATTAAGAACCATCATCCTTATCCTATTAAAATAGGTATGACATATTTTTCTTTTATTTTTTCATGGAAACTTTACTATAGATTTTGGATGTAAATGCATGACACCTTACATTGTATCTTTGTGTAATGGAATGGTGTTTCTAGTTAAAAAAAAAAAAGGTAAAATTGGTCACTCAGTTAAGCAACTGTATAATTTCCTGAAAAATTCATAGTTAGATCAATCATAGACATTAAAAAAACAAAACAAAACAAAAAACAGTTCACTATTCTTTATTTACTTTTCATACTCTTGTCTCTTACTTTAGGGAAAACTGATGAATATTCAATGGAGAGTTATAATGAAACATCAACTGATTTCCTTTTATTAGGGCTGTTCCCACCCTCAAGAATTGGTGTGTTCCTCTTCATTCTCATCATTCTCATTTTCTTAATGGCTCTAATTGGTAACCTGTCCATGATCCTCCTCATCCTACTGGATACCCATCTCCACACACCCATGTATTAGTCAGCTATCCCTTATAGACCTGAATTACATCTCCACCATTGTCCCCAAGAGGCTTCCAACTTTCTGTTTGGAATCAAGTCAATCTCCTTCATTGGATGTGGAGTCCAGAGTTTCTTCTTTTTGACCTTGGCGGGTGTCGAAGCATCTATGGCCTATGACGTTATGTGGCCATTTGCCTTCCTCTTCACTATCCTATCCGTGTGAGCAAAAGTTTGTGTGTGCTGATGACTACAGGATCTTGGATAATGGGTCTATCAATGCCTGTGTCCACACTGCGTACGCACTCCATATGCCCTATTGCCAATCCAGGGCCATCAATCATTTCTTCTGTGATCTCATAGCCATAGTGGCTCTGGCTTGCATGGACACTTGGATCTATAAGTACACAGTGTTTGTGAGAAGCACCTTGTTCCTTGTGTTTCCTTTCATTGGCATTACTTTTTCCTGTTGTCATGTTCTCCTTGCTGTCTACTGCATGCCCTCATCAGAAGGGAGGAAGAAGACCTATTCAACTTGCAGTACCCACCTCACTGTGGTGACTTTGTACTATGCACCATTTGCTTACAATTATCTATGTCCAAGGTCCTTCCAATCTCCAACAATAGACAAGGTTCTGGCAGTTTTCTACATTGTCCTCACCCCCATGCTCAACCCTGTCATCTATAGCCTGAGGAACAAGCAGGTGATGGCGGCCCTGAGATGAGTTATTCAGAGAATCTACTCTGTGAAAGTGTAGACAAGGTTCCTGCATTAGTCCTCAAGCTGCAGGTATTTGTCTATTCTGCAGTGAACAGTCATTCAGAAAAATATTATTCAAGGCATGAGGACAGGGTTTAAGTTAGTTATATTAGAAGATTTTAAAAAGTTGAAGTTTGATAAAATAATTGTATGTTACTAAGTCATAATTTTTGTTTTCTTCCTGAGGTGATTTTTTCCATCAATATAAAAAGCATATGTAGTCCACTAAATTTTAGAAATAAGGTTTTATTAATATGTAGAAATGAAAATGGAAACCACCTAACTTGAAGATATCATCCATCATGACAATTCTACTATACTTGATTTATATCTCAGTGTGTATAAATTAGAACAGAACAATAAATATTTTAGTGTGACTGAATCTAATCAAAAGCAAAATAATATTTTTTCATTAATTTAATCTTAATAGGTGTATACTGTTTCTATTTTCCCCCAATTTCAAAGGAAATGACAGATATAGGGATTTAGAATGTCTTACATAGCTATAGAGGAAATATGACAAGTTTATGTTTTCCAGGAGAAGGGTCCTGAATTTATCTGAAGGAATCCAAGAAAGTGATTTATTAACAGAAATCAGTTATTAGGGCTGAGGAGATACTAACTGAGCTATAAAAGAAGGAGGGTCTACTTTATAAGAGGATTAATGGAAGTTACAGCCTAATGAGTACAGATTATACTACTTCAGCCACTTCCAAAATGAGCACCCAGCATAGACTCCAATTTTGCATCTCAAGTAGCCACTAGTACCCTTATATGTTATGTACAATCTTATTCTCCACTCATTAGACTTGCAATTATATTGACACATTTTAGTGGGTAGTAGTGGGGAGTCATCTTCTCTGCACCAGTGTTTTAAATTGATACATCTGCTCAGTCTGTGCCATTATTTCCAGTAAAAAATGTATCAGCTTAAGTATGTATTCTGGGTGAAGAAAAATTGCTGTCTAGAGGAGAATACCGCTGATATACTATTAATTTTCTGAGGACAGATAAAGAGAGGAAGTTAGAATAAACATGTAATAAAAGCCCTGGATTAACAAAGTCAACACAGCCATGGATAACTGACATCTTAGAATTGGAAATCATCATTTTTTTCAGACTAGTACATGCACATTTTGAAGAAATGGTATGAATTTAGATGTCTTTATACTAATTCCAGTAAGCATTTAGAGTTTTCTCCACTAATAACTAAAAGCTTGATTTATTGAATGTCAAATGAGTATGACTTCCTTATCTCCAAATTTAAATGATGTGAAAATTTCTCATCATAAGAACTGTGTGATATCTAAATACTACTGTGGAAAAAGGTAATAGTTTTGTAACTAATAAAAGATTTACCTAGTCTCACATAACTTACTTTACTCTCACATTTGAAGGGGGAAGAAAAAAAGACAACTGCTGCTTTTGACCAATATTCAAATATCAAACACCTACTGAGCATTCATTGCATTGTTGGGGAGAAAATATTTCTTTTTCACAAAAAATGGTGAGTTGATTTGACAATTGGAAGCTAATCTAAGCTTCTTTTTTTTCTTTAATTAAAAAAATACACTCAATCATACCATCTTCTCAGTCTTGTCTATTGAGCATTTTTAAGTACCTTCTCTTTTCCTCAATCCTGAAATCATTGCCTTACTCCAGGTCTTCATCCTTTCTTTCCTAGACTCTTTTCTAGCAAAGTATTCCAACTGAATCAAAACAGAGTTTGGAATCTGACATTATCAGTTAGAGTTCTTAAGTGAAAGCACAGAGATAAGTTCAGCCCAATTCAATCAGAATATTATTATATGAAAATAGAATCTCTAGAAATGTAGGTGATTCAGGTTTAAAGATCATTAGCAAAGCTCAATATGTGCCTGAGAATGAGTCTTGCGAAGATAACACAGTTCACCCTCCTGGGAGCCATTCAGAGGCCCCAGAACCATATGGTTGGCACTTATGGAAGCTAGGTGAATTTACTGCTGTCTCATCCAAGTTTCCTTAGTCTGATTAATATCTGGTGTCATAGAATCTAATGCAGAGTCTAGGATGTATGGCTTCACCATAGCTTTAAGGTGTACAGGAAAGTGAGCATCTGAGTTCTATATTAGATACTGACCACCACCTGTCTGTCATTTTGTTGTACTGTGGTGGCTTGCATGTTGCTCTGATGCTAGAAGCTATGCCAATGTTTTTTTTTTTTTTAATTTTTTTAAATTGTACTGTAGGTGAAGGTTTACAGAACAAATAGTTTCTCATTAAACAGTCA